AAAATTAAATCCTTAATTATATTATTAATGTTAATTAATTAATTAATGTATTAATCTTTTAAGTTTAAGTCTCTACCCTCGAATTTATTTAATATGTTATGGGAATTATATAACAATAATAATAATTGTATTAATTATTATTATTATTATTATTGTCACAAATCCGTTCCATGGATTTTCATCCAATGAACACAAGAGGTCGCTCTCTCACCATATTGACACTCACTCCACATAGACTGTCACACATCACTCTGGACTACATCTCCCATGCTCCACTGCACTGATTGCACACTCACCTGCATCCAGTAACTCACACTATATATCCCTCACTCTGATCCTGCTCTAGTCGCCAAGTATTGTATGCGTTTATCTCTCTCCAAGTGATAGCTACTCTACGGAGCCTGTCTAGTTTTCAGTTCCTAGTCATAATCTGGTCTTGCTTGTTTACTCATGTTTTGATTCTTGCCTGTTTATTTTTATAACCCCTTTCATTTTACCATTCGGACTCTGTTTACGCCATGCCTGGATTATCGCCTGTTATTGGATTTACCGTTTGCCTCGTCCTCTGGATTACGTTTACCGTCGTTTGACCCATGCCTGTTTCACGGATTACTCTTCAGTCTCACCCTTGATATATCTATTTGCCATTGTTTGACTCTTGCCTGTATTGACCATGTCATTGAATAAAGCCTTGCAAGTGGATCCGCTCGCCTCACGTCTCTGTCACCTCGTTACAATTATTATTAATAATAATAATAATTATTATTATTATTATATAATTCCCATAATTTATTAAATAAATAATTCCTGATATAATAAAATAATTAATGTCTAATAAAATAATAAATGTCTTCAATGGATTAGCTGATTGGCATGTCACCATATTCTAATTTGTTGAGATAGTGAATTGGTGGGTTTTTGTTAAATGTGAGGCAAAATCATCACAATTAAAAGAACCAAAGACTTAAACTACTTCAGTCGGTGTGCATTTAATTTATTTAATACACAAGTTTCACAATTTGAGTTGAATTACTGAAATAAATGAACTTTTCCACAACATTCTAATTTATTGAGATGCACCTGTATATAATATAATATGACATATAATATAATATAATATAATATAATATAGGCTTTAATTTTTGCACATATACAATTATGTATTTAATATGTGAATGGGAATAATGTAACCCTCTGAACTGGCTGAGGATAATTACTTCTGTACAATCCTGCTCCACACAACCACACAGCAGCCACTTCATCCCATTTGTCAATTCCAAAAATAAAATGAACTCTGGTGGCCCAAGGGCATGTGTTTAATTATGAAATGATAGAGGATGTCTGTAGACCAAAAGAGTATTGATCTAAAAGAGTGACTAAAAGAGATTTTTTTTCCTGAAAAATTTATGAAGTAGTGATTAACTATGAAAAAGGCAACCCAGCTCTCTTGAGAAAAGGCAGATAGTGCAGGAACCAGAGAGAGAAATTGCAGCTACCAAAATAACTGTTTGTTAATTTGACTATTAAAGCAATAGGAATTAATCACATGTCCTATTGCTTTGCATAATTTGTTGGTTTGTGTGTGGTAAATTACCTGTTATCAGATAAATGTACAAGGTGAAACCCAAAGCCTTCAAGTCAAAGGTGTTAAAACAAATGATTAGATTCACTGATTCTAATAGTAGTAAGTAAACGCTAGTAGATACTTTAAACTATCACTGGATTCTGATGTGATGCTCACAGTGACTTGATAGAATTTATTTGGAATACAGAAAGACATGAAAACTTTGTACATAATTCATATTAATTATAAAATGGAAATGTTTCTAGATTTACACATTTGCCATTTGTCACTTTCCCTGGTTTGGAGACATTCTAGGCCGACCAAGTGCATCACAGACCGGTGGCCCTTTCATATTCTGTGCCAATTACAGCTCTTATGTAAAGTATCACTTCTGCCTCATCTCACAAATAAGCCTTGAGATAGAAGTCATTTTTTAAATTGGCTGTGGAAATGGAAAATATAAATTTGTTTAATCCTCACAAATAACTAGCTACAAAAGAGGCGAGACTTGCAAGATTAAGACTTCATTTTAAGAAACAGCATCTCAGTGGATGAATATTACTGCCATGTTAAATGATATGCTGCTTCTAAAAATAGTGCATGCAAATCCAACATTCACATCAGACTTTGACCGATAACATTTCCCGGAGCGACTTTCTCAGAACAGTCATCATTTGAGCAATCATTTGCCTCAGTGCCAATTATTACCTGGACTTAGCAACAGCTTGACTTCCATGACAGCACAGCTGTCTACATTAACTGACTCCAGATTTTCTTGGTTTCTATTTCATTTCTGAACAATTTTTCATGCATTAATTATGTAGACATTTGATTTCACAATAATGTGAACTTAAATGCTCTGTCTTTTCCCCCAGTGTGTACAATAGCTGCACACTTTCTGAACACCTTGTTGTTGGGGTTTATTGTATGATGATGGATCATCATCATCATCATCATCACCTGTACTGTAAATTACTGTAAATTTGTAAACATGCAATAAACAGATGTTACAAAATAACAGTTTATTCTGTTTAAGAAAGTAGATTTTTTAAATTAGCACTTACTTGGAAGGTAATTGTTTGTTACTTAACTTTTATTCTGTATTTAGAAAGATTGTATTGTATTCTATTCTATTCCTATCTATTTTGTAATCCTGTTTCTGTGGAGATTTCTGTGGAAACTGTGTATATATATGAATAAACATGGCACAATAATAATAAAAAAAAAAACATGGACATCAATCCCAGATTATTGAGCAGCCTACAAAAAAAGAAAGAAAGAAAGAAGAAAGAAACAATTAATATGAAGCAAGAAACAATACTGAACCCTATGTATATCAAGCTGGAACTTTCCATTCTTAAAGGGCCATACAAACAAGATTTAGTCTGTGAAAGGAGCTGTTCAGTTTGTTGTCCTTAAACCTTGAAAAGAATTAGCATTTTTGAGCCATGGATTCCTTCGAGAATTTTCTATGGGTTTTCAAAAAGTCTACATTTATGTAAAATGAGGTCAATGGTTTACATTATTTGAAGAGACTTCCTTGTTTTGTCCTCAGGTAACTTTTGTAACAGACTGCAATAATGAATATTTATGTGTAAAATTGGCGTAATATGATCATATTTTCTTGACCTGGTAAGGACTCTAGCCGCTGCATTTTGGACTACCTGTAGCTTGTTTATTGAAGATGCAGGACAAGCACCTAGCAGTGCATTACAGTAGTCCAGTCTAGAGGTCATGAATGCATGAACTAGCTTTTCTGCATCAGAAACAGGTATCATGTTTGTGGTATCAAAAATGTAACATTTTTCACTTTTTCCAGCGCCTTCTTTGTAACTTGTCTGCGTGAAAGACCGCCGTTTTATTTTGAAATGTGGAAAGTGAAAGTAACCTGTGGTTTCCGGCTTCATCAGACAGCGGAGCTACAATGTAAACACACAGCGTCCATTTTCAAACCCGTCCGGAGAAACATCGCACATCAGCGCTGAACATGGGGGCCGTACTTGGGCTTTGTTCCATGGCCAGTTGGGTAAGTTTACATATTAATATACTGATGAACTATAAATGAAATCGTATAGATGTGCGAAGTAAAATAACTATTTGGTTTTTAGCGAGTTTATCATGTGATGCAGGTGAAAAAAAACGAAATAGAAAATGGTGTCTGGGCCCTTCACGATGCTCTTAATTCATAAAACACACTGAATCTTTTGAATATTTACAAAGAATAACACACAACAACATATTAATTAATTTCATCATGTTTTGGTTTGATTTAAATCAGTTGTTTTGCTTTTCTAGATGTACAATGCCATGTTGGGTGGTTCCCTTGTTGTGATGAAGCACAAAATGTTTTTGTATTAATACACAACAATATTTATGTAATTTGTATTACTAAGTGACATTATTACTACTTGTACTCGTAATTGCAGCCTAATAACGTTACTCGTAGATAAACTATTTGGTCGGCAATTGTGATCATGACAGCTAATTATTGTTTGATTTTTTGGGGGGTGGGTTTAAATGGGACACACTTATGATCTTAAATTGGACACACATAGATGATCTTCCACCATAACATGAGCTTTTCAAAGATCACATGTTTGCTAGGATTTCAGGTGTTGCGACATCAAAACACCGATTAGATGTCAGTTCATGAAAAACACACGAAGGAGAGATGAGGAAACATGGGGCCCGAGGTTATGTAACACTATTTACTGTTCAGTAACACTTCACATGAACTTTTATTCATGAACAAGTATTATGCAATGATGAGACATAAAATAAATTAATAAATCTGATCTTTTGAACTTTATATTCCTAAAAGAATCCTGAAAATATTACAATTCCAAAAATTATTAAAGGGGTCATATGATGCTTTTTTTTTAAAGATCATTATTTGGTGTATTTGGTGTAACGGAATATGTTGACATGCTTTAATGTTCAAAAAACACATTCTTTTTCAAATACTGTACGTTATTGTAGGTCCTCTATGCCCCGCCTCTCTCAAACGCTTCGTTTTCTACAAAGACCCTCCTTCCGACACACACACACAGACACACAGACACAGACACACAGACAGACACACAGACACACACAGACACACAGACAGACACAGAGACAGACACACAGAGACAGACACACAGACACAGACACACAGACACAGAGACACAGACACAGAGACACAGACACAGAGACACAGACACAGAGACACAGACAGACAGGAGAGATGAGGAAACATGGGGCCTGAGGCTATGTAGCAGTATTTACTGATCAATAACACTTAGTAAAGTTAACGTTTATGCTTTTTTTGTATTTATTTTATTTATTTTTTGCAGATATTATTCAAAAAAATTCAGCTCTGCCATCACTGGAATAAATTCCATTTTAAAATATTAATATTAAATACCTTGATATTAAATGTATTAAAAGAGAAAACCATTATTTCAAATTGTAATAATTTTTGACAATACTGACTAAATACTGACCAAATAAGTGTAGCCCCGTTGAGCGTAAGAGACTTATTTAAAAAAACAAAACCACAATGACAAGATAAATAAATCAAAATCTTAATGTTCTTAAGGACTCCAATATTTAGTAGTGTGAATATGTTTATAAGATGCTTATCCAGACATTTATTTTAGGAGGGATTTAATGTCCTCTTTAATCACATCTAAACTCTTTTGTTATGTAAAGCCAGACAGATTTAGCCACAAGCTTTGCCTGGTGTACAAATGAAGGATGAGGCCTCTTTAATTAGACAATTTTTTAAACACTAATGTGAGTCACAAAAGCATTAATTGCCCATCTTTCATATGTTACATTATGCTGTTGTAATGGCAAAATGAACTTGTATGTAATATTCCGCTTCTTTTTGTGTTAAAAAGGGTGTCATTTATCAATTAATAGCCAAAAAATAATGAAAAAAAGATGACAGCCCTAGGGTCTGAAAAAAAAAAACAGTCTTGTGATCTGAAGAGGGAGTTTGTAGCTGAAGTTCAAAATATCTGAAATGGCTTACATCACCTTTAATGTACATGTTTTTCTTCTTCACTGCAGATTCCTTGCCTTTGTGGCAGTGCTCCCTGCCTGCTGTGCAGATGCTGCCCAAGTGGAAACAACTCCACAGTCACTCGGCTGATCTATGCATTCTTTATGCTGGTGGGTGTGGGCATCGCCTGCATCATGCTCATGCCAGGCATGGAGGAGCATCTGAAGAAGGTGACCCAGCAATCCTGAGCGTTTCTTGGAAATTAAAGTTTTGCATTCGTTTTACAGGGTTGCAGCTGAAGCAATCTGATCATTTATTCGTAACATCACTGCAGATTCCAGGCTTTTGTGAAGGAGGAATGGGGTCGTCCATCCCGGGAGTGCAAGGTCATGTGAACTGCGATGTGCTGGTGGGCTATAAGGCTGTGTATCGTGTGTGCTTTGGGATGGCTATGTTCTTCCTGCTCTTCTCTCTCATCATGGTAAAGGTCAAGAGCAGCCAGGACCCAAGAGCTGCTGTGCATAACGGGTATGTAGGCGTTGGTGTGACCTAATGGTTAAAGTCTTGACCTGTAACTCGAAGGTTGAAGATCTGAATCCTTATGCGCAAGACACAGGTTTAGCTGTGTTTAAAGGGGTCATATGATGCTTTTTTTAAAGATCATTATTTTGTGTATTTGGTGTAACAGAATATGTTGACATGCTTTAATGTTCAAAAAACACATTATTTTTCAAATACTGTACATTATTGTAGGTCCTCTATGCCCCGCCTCTCTCAAACGCTTCGTTTTCTACAAAGTCCCTCCTTTGACAAGTGCAGTCTGCTCTGATTGGCCAGCTGACCCAGTGCATTGTGATTGGCCGAACACCACAAGCACTCGTCGGAAATGTAAC